TAAGGATAGAATAAGATAGAAGAAAAATTTCTTTTTGCTAGCAGTAGAACAAGAGCTTCCCCCCCCCACCTCTTAATCAATTGCCCTGTTGAATGAATGAGGTGTGGATGAGCAAGGCATGGAAGGCAGCACCTCCAGACAGCCTCAACTGTTGGAGAGGGGCTGGGAGCCAGACCCAAGGACAATAAAACGTGTCAAGTGGGCTCATTAAAGACAAGCAGACATACTGACGGCCTCGGGGGGTTAGAAGGGAGCACCTTCTTTTGGAAACACCCTCTTTGCAGCATTGGGACAACACTCAAAAGAAAGCAGCACAAAGGACCAATGGACACAGACACAGAGTTTGAATCTGGTCTAGATTTGCATAAGAGGAAAGCTGCTATAAAAGTGAGGTGTCTTGCAGAGGACCCCAGGTCTCGTCTTGTCAACATGGGAGCATCGATCCGGATCGGCAGAAGCCTGGCTCCACCCCCTCCCCCATCTAACTCACCTGGCCAGTGCAGTTAAGGGGAGCAACTAATTGGTAACAACAAGACGGAGTGTGTTAGTGTGTGTGTGTGTGTGTGAGTGTAATATATTATATGCATATAATACAGTGTTAATGAATACATGTCTCACTAATAAATGTGGCGTTTTGTCTTATTCCCCCTGAAAAGATCCTGTGCAGTACTTTAAGTACAACAGGCTACCAGGGCAGAGCACCGCCTGCTGAGTCCCCACCCTGCCCCGTGCCCTCTAGCACCCAGCCAGCCCTGCCTGCTAGGGGAGAGCGCCCCCTGCCCCACAGCATAGCGCCCGCCCCAGCCCTCCCGGTACAGGGGAGCATGGGCCCATTGGCGTGGGGAGATGGTACCTCCGTTCATACTCCATTTCCTCCTGCAGCGGGTCAATGCTTCGGAACAGGCCGGGCTCTTCGGTGGGCACTCACCACACGGCACTGCCACCGGCTGTGTCCACGACCCTGAGGGCAGAGAGAGCAGAGGGGGCATCAGCATGGCCGTCCACGGAGCAGGGGGAAGGAGACCCATGAAATCAACCGAGTAGTGCCAGACAGATACATCAGGGGCTAAGCGAGGATCCTCACACACCCCTGCTAGCCCAGGCCTGGGGTCCCCCCCAGCCCTGCCGGTGCCCCTGACTCCCAACCTGCAGCCCCCTCCTAGCCCAGCCCTGGGCTTCCCCAAGCTCCGCCGGTGCCCCTCACTCCCAACTCACAGCCCCGGACTCCCCCCACCCCTGCCAGTGCCCCTCAATCCAAACCCACAGCCATGTCAATCCTGGTCTACCTTATACACATCATGGGAAAGAAGAGAGCCTAGGGGGTTTTTTGGTTGTTGTTGGTTTTTTTGGGGGGGGCGGCACTGGGAGCCCAGAGTCCTGGGTTTTCTCCGCAGCTCTGGGAGGGGAGCGGGGTCTAGTGGGTCAGAGATGGGGGGAGTAGGGATTGGGAGTCAGGAAATAAGACTCCAGTCCCAGCTCTGACACCCACTTTCCCTTTGGTTCTCAGCATGTCCCTTCCCCTCCCTGGCCTCCTCTACCGGCGGCAGGAGCTCTAGGTTTCCATGCGCTAGTGACTCCCCCAGAGCCGGCCTCGCTGCAGCGAGAGCACCCCAACCGCCGCTGGCTCGGCGCATACTGCACTGACTCCCAAGGGGCTACGGCGTGTGGGGCACCCGCCCGGTTCTCCGTGCTGGGCCTGTGGGAGAACCTGTCTGGCCACACTGGGGGAACCGCGGGACGGTGCTGAAGGCCCAGCGGTCCTGCCCGGGGAGAGAAGTTTGGGGCCGTGGTACCATTTTACCCCAGTTACAGACACTTTGGTGCTTGGGGCCCCAGCCCAACTGTCCCCCCTTTCTCCCAGTCTCATCAGCCCTGCTAGCGGTGTCGACCTGCATCCACTACTGCACAGCGGCCGGGTTAGCAGCTGGCGAGAGGCGCTCGAGTTTTAGTCCAGACCCCCTCGGGGACCAGCCAGCCCCAGTTCAAAGCCCCAGCGCACCGGAGCGAAGGGACGGGACTGGAATTCGCAGCCTCTGCCTGGCGGAGACCACGGAGGGGCCCTGTGAGTTGTCCTCTCCGAAGCACCGTGACCCTCTACCTGAACCACGTCTCTCACAGAGCTCGCCGGGAACGGAGTGAAGGGCTGCCCCAAACCTCTCCTCCCCATGTGCTTCTCTGACAGGCCTTCTCCAACCCAACACCCTGCAGCGTTGATCCCTCCAGGTTCCCTGCCCAGGAATGTCGCCCAGCCACAGCAAACCGCTCCCCCAGAGGAGAGAGAGAACAACTCTCACAGCACAGACGTTCACCCCAGTGCTGACAAATCGGGGACCTCATCGGATTTGTCTGGGGGAACTTCCTGGTCTGCCTTTCTCCGCTGTATCACAGCCCTTGGTACCCAGGGTTTCCTTAGACCCCTCTCGATCTTTCTGAGACGCTAACGATCCCATTTGCGCTTTTGGCCACAGCATTGGTGTGGGAGCTTCGGCTCAGCTGCCTGTCCACTCCGAGGCCCAGATCCTTCAGGGATCCATTCCACGGCTCCTAGAAGTATCCCTAGAGGCCTCTGGCTGGATTAATGCAGGAACGGTCCCTGACCACCCCCCCACACACCAGACTTAGCAGCTCAGAATTCATCCCTCAGTCTGGCTCCATCCAGGGGACTGGTCCAAAACTAATCAGGCAATTGACCAGTCACATCCCAGGCAAATATTTCAAAGCACTAATTTCTCACAGCAGCAGCAACAAGAAGAGAACAGAATAAGACTCTGGTTTCTGCGAGGCTTCACCTTACAGAGTTCCCCGAGTTATTTTAACTTTAAACAACGCGACACACCAAAATTAAGTTCTAAACAAAAAAAACCCAAAATGGTACCACAATGCAATCAAAGAGGTAGGACACCAGTTACATCCCCGATTTCTCGCTGGACTATCGAACCAGATGAGATCGTGTTCCAACAGGTGGTCAACTGACCGACTTCCCAAACCTGACGAGAACACGATGCATGCAATCCCCAGAGTAACACACCCAATTCTCCCCTTAACAGCAGGTAACATAAGGGTAGCAGCCAGCCAGTCCCACTGCCCTGGGGCTGGATCGGAGCTGGTGCCCCCTAGAGGGGAAAGGCCCCAGGTCCCATTCCCCCC